GATGGATGGATGGATAGATAGATAGGTAGATGGATGGATAGATGGATGGATGGATAGATAGATAGGTAGATGGATGGATAGATAGCTAACTAGATAGATGAATAGCTAGCCAGCCAGCTAGCTAGCTAGCTGGATGGATGGATGGATAGATGGATAGATAGATAGATAAATAGATGGATAGATGGATAGATAGATGGATGGATGGATAGATAGATAGCTAGCTAGATAGATGAATAGCTAGCCAGCTAGCTGGATGGATGGATGGATGATGGATGATGGATGGATGGATAGATAGATGGATGGATGGATAGATAGATAGCTAGCTAGCTATGTGTTGATAATTAACCGATTATATTTTTTACAGTTTGAAGGCTGCTGAATATTGTGAATTTACTTAAAGTTTATGTTGTTGTTTCTGTCTCCTTTGTATTTCGCTCCGTCATCTTGAACAAAGTCACTCGCAACCTGAGCACTTATTGCTCTGTGTTACTCTGTGTTATCTGTTTTTTGCGCTTGCTTCTGCTGCAATCAATCTGTTTTTTTTGCGCTTGCTTCTGCTGCAATCACAACGCAGCAGCAGCTGTGCTGGATTACAGGGAATGGCACGTAATGTCTTTAAAACATCTTTCCCTCTGTACGCCACTGGCAGAGACGTTTATCTCTAATCTTCATATTTATTGGTGACAGGCGACGTGTCATAAACTCCATTGTTGTTACAAGGATTTTCTCTTCGCGCTGTTTCAGCCATGGCGTTCACTCCCGACAACAAATCCTCCCGTCCGGTCAGCGCTCCCGTCACGTCACCCGTGACTCCAGGGGAAGGAGCTCCTTCACCGATGCTGCCAACACTGCATCGCTCCGACCACCACGATGGCAGCACGACTAAAGGTCGCCGCTCTGGAGACAGGAAGGCCGAGTTGAAGAAGGAAACTCACAGAGGTGAACATAACAGGAGCCAGAGCCCTAGACCAGAGGCCACGCCGGAAGTGAAGGTAGTGGCAGCACTCACTAATATCGCAATGTTTTTATGTAAAATACAAGCTTCACATTGAAAGAATGTAAAAATACATTCATGTTAACCTATGGTTAAAACTAACGTGACTCAATAGCATTCTTAATTTCCCAAAGGGAACTCCTGAGGGATTAATCAAGATCTGTCTATCTATCTACCTATCTATCTACCTACCTACCTACCTATCTATCTATCTACCTATCTATCTATCTATCTATCTATATATCTATCTATCTATCTATCTATCCATCTACCTACCTACC